GTTGTTGTTGTTTTTGAAATCTATGCTATACAGCAAATGTTGTTTCGATTGGATATAGACTCCACATTTGGTGGAGGTGATGGCGTTTCGGTGTTGGTTGTTTGGTTGGTGCTATCTTTCTTAACCGATTTATTTATTGACTTTCTCTGAATTAAATAAAAGACACGTACATTTTTTGAGGGGGAATAACAAAACTAACACCAAATAATGATTATGCGGAAATAAATCATTGACAAAAATTGTTGCTGTTACACAAAACACAGAAACCAAACCAAAAACAAAACAACAATAGCAAAAATTTGTTGTTATTGTTGTTTTGTTTTTAACATTTTAATTATAATCCCCGTCTTTTGTATTTTGTATTTTTAATTTTTTATTTGTTTATATATAGCCTTTAGTCCGCTTTTTTTATTTTGCAGAAGGTTTTCTAAGAAACAGAAGGTGTATCTGTCTGCCTGTGTTTTTATGTGTGGGAAGAGTTGGCGGGATTAGTTTATTGCGATGTCAACAAACATTACCTCCCAACGCATTTGTAAAGACAGACTGGCCAACACAAGCAATTGGCCGGACACAATTACTTTTCGTTGAGAGAAATGGCCAAGAGAAATAATAAAAATTTACACTTATTTTTTTAAATGAAGTTTAAAATTGTTGCTTTATTTTTCATTCGCTTATTATCGAAGTCATAGAAGATTTGACACACGTTCCGGTAATGCGCTCAAACATTGAGCGCGTACGACATATAAATGAATTTTTTTTTTTGTCTCCGTTTGCAGATGATACCATTTTGGTATGCCATGTGGTAATAAAGTCAGTTTTTGTGTTTTTCAAACTCAAAAATTATGTAAAATTTTTTGTGTTGTTATTACTTTTAGTTTCAAATTAGATCAAGTTAAAGACGTGCGTGAATTTATTTTAAATGGTCATAAATAGGCTCTGGTTATGGTTTGTTTTCATTTGACGCGTTTGTGGCAAAAGTTTATGTAATAATTGAGGAGGCAAACCCAAAGTAAACACTCACTTTATACGCAAAGAAATGTCATTTGTTTTTTTGTTGATTTTTGTTTATTTACTTTTGTAAATATATTCCAATTTGCTGGAAGGTATTTTTCCACAATTAGTCGATGCTCTTGTTGGTATTATTGGTAATGAAATTTGCATTTTTAATGACAAATTTTAACAAACATTTTAAAGAGTGGATTTTTTAGGAGTATTTTATTTTGTATTTTTTCAAGAATATTTTTTTACAAATATTAAATGGTGTGGATTATTAGATTACAAGAATTCTAAGGCGTAAATGTGTTACAGAACATTTTTACATATAATATAAAATAAGTTTAAAGAATTTAAGGCGTGGATTTTCTAAAAATATAAAATTAAAAAATCCAGTTTCCGTGGTTTTTAAATTTAAAAAATAGAGAATTTTCTAAAAAAAATCCAAATTATATATTTTAGAATAATTTCGTGGTGTGGATTTTGTAACAAATAACAAAAAAAAAATAAGTCAAGGTTTTTGAAATCGGGCCAAAGAATAAGTATGACTGTTTTGATAAAGATCGGTCAATATTTAGCGGGTCAAATGGACCCTGACTTTTGTGTGAAAAATTACAAAATTTGTATTCTATGGCGAATATATTTACTCCTGAAGGATATAGTCCCGAGAAGTTGATAGGGTATCGAAGAGGAGTTGTTGACCTTTAAATTGATACCAATTATATTGTCGTATGTACTCGGATGTGGGAGTTACACTTAAATATTTACAGGTACCTACGTATTTATATATTATTTAGTAACCCATTACCACACTAGAGGGCGAAAATATAGCGCTGATCGCTTTGTAATTTTCCATGAGATTCCCGTTGTGGTCAACGACAACGCCTATAATTTTCGGTGATGATCAGATAATAATTTTGGGATGAAGTGGACCGAAAACTTATTTTTTTTGTGTTTTTGTTTTCGAGTCGATCTATAGGCCACAATTGAAAGCCCAACATCACAACATAACCCGCGTTAAACAGAATCTGGACAAGTACAGCCCTCGTCTACTGAATATTAGAAATATTTGTTGACATCTAGTCGGCCAAGCTCAGAATATCATATGGTTCATATGGTCGGCCCCGTCCGACTATACTGCTCCGCTCACTGGTTTTTTATAGAAAATATTTTTTTTAAAAAATTCTTACGTGTATGTTTTTACAAAATTTCCGAAGTGTTTAGGAAAATTAAAAAATCTAAATTTGTATACCCTTCACCACACTGTGGTACAGGGTATTATGTCTTTGTGCATATGTTTGTAACAGGCAAAAGGAAATGAGATAGACACATGGTTCCTTTTGAGAATATGCATAGAATCCCTTTCTGAGTCGATTTATGCATGTCCGTCCGTCTGTTGGTGTTAAATAGTAAACAAAGTTCAGATCGCATTTATAATACGATTTGGATGAAATTTGGTACAGCTCATTTGTTTGAAATTGGGGAAAATCGGTTCAGATTTAGATGTAGCTCTCATATATATATTTTTGTCCGATTTTATGTAAATGGTGTACCAAAGTCCCTATATATCTTTCGATTTGCACGAAATGGGCTGGTAAAGGAATACCAGTGCTTGTTAAGGTTTGTAACTTTGCATATATATATTTAAAGATTTCAAAAGGAAGAAAAATAATTATCAAAAAATGTTTGTTGTTGTTTTTTGTGATTAAAGGAAAGTCCTTATTTTTGATGGCGGGCACGATAACTCCTCACTGGGATATCGGAATCCGAAAATTCCAACGGTCTTAGAAAGAGTACATATCTGGCTGTCGTATGAACTAGGATTATTGACTTCGCACAACAATTAACAAAATGGCGAGCATTTGAAAAAAAATGGAAAATCGCCTATTTTTGACCATAAACTAAATTAAAAAATTAAGAAGATTTTCACCGATTGGCTTTCTAGTTCATACGATAGCTATACACTCACAGAGAAACGTCCCAAAATTTGAAATCGATCGGATTATTAGTTTTTGAGATATCGTGCCCGCCATTCGCAAAAACGCTGTTTGGAGAAAAATACGGTTTAAGTTTGAGAAGCCCTCTTGCCGTCACTTTATGCTAGCACAATAAATCGGCTATATCTTCAAAAATTGTTGAGATTTTCACTTGAAAATTTATAGAGACATTCTTGAATTAGTGTAGGTTCGAATTAAATCAAACTACAAAATTAATTTTTTTGAAACCGAGAATGGGGGTGCTTCGTGAAAATCGGTTCAGATTTAGCTACAGCTACCATATATAGTTTCGCCCGATTTTAAGTAAATGATGCATAAAAGTCCCTATATATTTCTATATAAATTTGGCATAGCGCACTGAATTAAGTGCAGAATGATGTCAAGTTTCGAGAAAATGGGTTCAGATTTAGATATAGCTCTCATATATACGATCGTGGTCAAAGAGCGGTGAAGCACCTCAAACGGTGGCCAAACCAGGACCAGGAAGGTTCTGCTATGCGTGTGGGAGCTGGAAGGGGTTTATTTATTATGAATTGCTTCCATATGGCCAAACGCTAAATTCTGATATATACGGAGGATTGTGCGAATCGACTACTAGATTTATTTTGCAAATAGATAGCGGGACTTCTATGAGAGAGGCATTATGAAGTTACCTTTAAAATTGGAACAAATCATACAACAAAACAGAGGTGCATATTTGTCCTAATCGGACATTCTGAGGCATGTAATATTGGATTTTTCCCCCAACCTAATATTAAGCTTCTTTTTTAAAATTTATAAATGCATATTTTAAGAACTATAACCGTGTGCAACATATATAAATATTAACAATACGCCCCACGTCCGTCTGTCCGTTGAAATCTCGATAGAACTAGCAATATAGCTACTACTAAATCCTTGGAAGTTTCGGGCACTAGCAATAGTTGTATACCCATTTATATTTTATTTCCTGGCAATTTGCCACGGCATAGCCCGAAAATAATTATTCTGATCGATGGTGAAGGGTATAAGGATTATTATAGAGTGTCAATTCTTAATAATGATTTAATAGATTATTAAGATTTAAACTTCATTGATCAAAAGACAGTTTTTTGAACGCTTCATACTATTACCTATTAAGGTATGATCCGCTGATTCAATTCAGAAACATAACCAGCATATTCACACTACTGTATATCTAATACATAAAAAAGATAATTGATGAGTTATTGCTGTTCCCAAAATGAAACGTAAATCTATATTTTACAAATCATAACCATGAAACCTACTAAAAAATTACATCATTCTTAAAAGTATTAATTATTTCTTTCCTAAATAACATATTATATAATTTGTATCTAAAACTCTCGAAGTTATAATCTGACAAATATTAATTTCAGTATTTATCTTTGGCAATTTCTTCATTTGATTGAGAGCAAAGGGTCGCCAAACAGACGGTTTGAAAGCGAAAGTTTTAAAATAAGATTTTTTTTAGAGAATAAAAAATGAAAATTTATTGCATTCGGATTAAAGGTACTCAGAAAAAAGTTGTATGTATGTAAAGTTGTATGTCCAACTCTCTAACCAGACTTTCTTCATGTTATTAAATTTTAGAAATTATGTAAAGATTTTTTACGGTTTGGATTTATTGGTGATTTCAAAGTCATGCTAATCAATCAATCATTACAAATCAGTGGGTGAAGCTTTTTGAATGGATGTTATACATATGATTATCTCTTTACGACCATCTATCCATCTAAAGCCAATTTGACGTCAGATCATGTGCAAAAATAGTTTTGTTGTTGTTCTGCTTTTGATTATGGTTTTGTGTTAAAGTTTAACGAACTTTTTTATTGACAACAAACTAAAAATGTTGACCAAAAATTAAAAAAAACAATATGATTTATGGTTATACATAATCATACCGTTATATTTCTGAGTTAATACTTTATAATTTACCGGCTCTCTTATATTAATCCATATGTTTCTCTTAATTGCTTTAATATTTTGTCCCATTTTTTTTATTTTCAGCCTTTAAAAATGAAAAGCATCAAAGCACTGCCTCCGCTTCCAGCAGTACGTCCAGATCGAATATGGATTATATGCCTGCCACAACCGAATCTCAAGCTTTAAAAGAAGCCCTTAGTAAATATAAACTTTTGGAAGCCGATTACAAATCGTTGCATGATAAACGTTTACAAGATGTAAGTAGAAATTGTGAATAGAAATTAAATTTTACGAGGTTTGGTATAATAAGTAAGGACCTATAAAATCGATTTGGATTTTTTAAAAAGGGACTATCATCGATTTAGGTTTGAATTTTTTAAAGTATATTTTTGACTATCATAGTCGTGGATTTTTTAAAGAATATTTTTGAGGGACTATCTCGACCCTAGACGTTGATTTTTTAAAGAATATTTGCGTGGATTTTTTAAAGAATATTTTCCCCCACACTATCAAGACCCTAGGCGTGTATTTTTTCAAAATAATATTTTCCCCTACACTATCACGACCCTAGGCGTGGATTTTTTAAAGAATATTTTCCCCTACACTATCACGACCCTAGGCGTGGATTTTTTAAAGAATATTTTCCCCTACACTATCACGACCCTAGGCGTGGATTTTTTAAAGAATATTTCCCCCTACACTATCACTACCCTAGGCGTGGATTTTTTAAAGAATATTTTCCCCTACACTATCACGACCCTAGGCGTGGATTTTTTCAAAATAATATTTTCCCCTACACTATCACGACCCTAGGCGTGGATTTTTAAAATAATATTTTCCCCTACACTATCACGACCCTAGGCGTGGATTTTTTAAATAATATTTTCCCCTACACTATCACGACCCTAGGCGTGGATTTTTTAAAGAATATTTTCCCCTACACTATCACAACCCTAGGCGTGGATTTTTTAAAGAATATTTTCCCCTAAACTATCACGACCCTAGGCGTGGATTTTTTAAAGAATATTTTCCCCTAAACTATCACGACCCTAGGCGTGGATTTTTTCAAAATAATATTTTCCCCTACACTATCACGACCCTAGGCGTGGATTTTTTCAAAATAATATTTTCCCCTACACTATCACGACCCTAGGCGTGGATTTTTTAAATAATATTTTCCCCTACACTATCACGACCCTAGGCGTGGATTTTTTAAATAATATTTTCCCCTACACTATCACGACCCTAGGCGTGGATTTTTTAAATAATATTTTCCCCTACACTATCACGACCCTAGGCGTGGATTTTTTAAAGATAATTTTCCCTACACTATCACGACCCTAGGCGTGGATTTTTAAAAGATAATTTTCCCCCACACTATCACGACCCTAGGCATGGATTTTTTAAAGATAATTTTCCCTACACTATCACGACCCTAGGCGTGGATTTTTTAAAGATAATTTTCCCGTACACTATCACGACCCTAGGCATGGATTTTTTAAAGATAATTTTCCCTACACTATCACGACCCTAGGCGTCGATTTTTTGAAGAATATTTTAAAGGGACTATCACTGATCTAGGCGGGGATTTTCTAAACATAGGCATGGATTTTTTAAAGATAATTTTCCCTATACTATCACGACCCTAGGCGTGGATTTTTAAAAGATAATTTTCCCCCACACTATCACGACCCTAGGCATGGATTTTTTAAAGATAATTTTCCCGACACTATCACGATCCTAGGCGTGGATTTTTTGAAGATAATTTTCCCTACACTATCACGACCCTAGGCGTCGATTTTTTGAAGAATATTTTAAAGGGACTATCACCAACCTAGGCGTGGATTTTTTTAAAGAATATTTTAAAGGGACTATCACCAACCTAGGCGTGGATTTTTTTAAAGAATATTTTAAAGGGACTATCACCAACCTAGGCGTGGATTTTTTTAAAGAATATTTTAAAGGGACTATCACCAACCTAGGCGTGGATTTTTTTAAAGAATATTTTAAAGGGACTATCACCAACCTAGGCGTGGATTTTTTTAAAGAATATTTTAAAGGGACTATCACCAACCTAGGCGTGGATTTTTTTAAAGAATATTTTAAAGGGACTATCACCAACCTAGGCTTGGATTTTTTTAAAGAATATTTTAAAGGGACTATCACCAACCAAGGCGTGGATTTTTTTAAAGAATATTTTAAAGGGACTATCACCAACCTAGGCGTGGATTTTTTTAAAGAATATTTTAAAGGGACTACTTAATTTTTCTTTTACAATTTCTCACTCGCTTTTATTTTCCTTTTCCCATTACAGTTAAAAACTCTACAAACTGCCCATGAACGTGAACTAGCGACATGTCACGAAACTGTGCGTCTATTGCAGCAACGTCTCAACGAACGTGATGAACAATTTGCCATGCAAAAACGTCGTAAAGTACCCGTTGACTATTATGCACTCAAAGCCAAGGTAGGTTGTTGTTGTTTTTATACTTCTACTAACAATACCGTCGCACAGATTAACTAGCATGAAAAGTGTCGGCCCCCCAAACTAACAACAACACCTGATGTTGTTGTAGCTCTTTCCTTGGCCGTTGTATCAAAACAATGCAACAATCTCCAAAAGTATTTGATGAACGTCACTCGACGGTCACAATGCCAAGACCATTGTGGTCATTATTATTACCAACTGCGGTACTGTGGTCAGCAAGTGTGAAAATTGTCGATAATTTGACCACCGCTATCGCCGGTCGTCGTCTCTTTCTTGTCATTGTATAATTGCCCGTTTTATTTTTGGCATTTTAACGAGCGATGATAGCTTCTTTTATGCAACAAAATTGTAACAGTTTTTTTATGATTTTCATTTACAAATTAATTACTCTATTGCGTAATTTATTTTCATCGTCGTTGTTTCCGCATCATCCAGCTACACGATGGACACACAATCATTAAATTAAATTTACACTTATTTTCGTCGATTTAATGTTGTATTTATTTCATTCTTCAAAAAATCTACTATTGTCAGGCATTTAGTCAGTCCGCATACAAAAGAGTAAATAGATTTTATAACATTTCCCCGCCCGGTGGTTTCAATTTCGTTGACAAAACGTGTGCATGCACATGTCGTGAAATTTTTAAAGTGAAATGATCACTTTTATAATCACCACTTAACGTTTTTATTTGATTATACTTTTGCGTCTAGTCTAAATTATATCACCATGCAAAATGTTTGTCGATGTTTGTTTGTGACTCTTTGTTTGTTTGAAAAATTGTTTAATTTTATTTTAATTTAGCTATTTGGCAATTAGTTTATGTTTTAATAACTTCTTTTTATAACAAAAATAGCCTTGGGGCCAAATCTAATTTTTGTTCCGAAAAATAGCTATGGGGAAGAATTTAGTCAATTATAAAAATGATTGATTTCTTTTTCGATTTTCTATTAGTAATCAATTAGGTATACGTAATATTTATTAAGCGTTGCTTTAGGAATTGTGAGTCTTATAAACGTGGATTTTTCATATAATAAAAATACATTTTCTAGGACTATGGAATTATTAGAGTGATTTTTTTAGATATTTTCTAAAAAACTTTCTTAAGAATAAAGAACTACACGTGTGGAAATTTTTATTTATTTTTTTTTAATTTCTTCCAAGTATCATCAGAGCCATTAAATTATACTTTAAAGCCGTATTTCACAGCTCTGAACTGTTTATCAAAGCTATAATTGTTTTTTTTTTTTTTAAGAATATTTCTTAAAGAAGTATCAAAAATTTAATTCATTTTTAAAGGGGTTTCGGACCTTTAAGCTATAAGAATATTTTGTTTAAGTATTGTCACAACTATAAGCGTGAAGTTTTTATACCCTACACAACTATGTTGTAAGGGTATTATAGCTTTGTGCAGCCCCAAGAGTTTGTAACGCCCGAAATATTGGTTCTACACCCACCTTTAAGTATACCGATCGTCATATCTCGACCAGCTGAGTCGATCTGGCGTCTGTCCATTATGATTTGTAAACACGATACAGGCCACAGTTATGGACCAATCTCCACGAAAATTTGCATGTAGGATGGGTTCTAGCCAATGAAGAACCCTATTGTTTTTGGTAATGATCCTTTAATATTTAAGGAGTTTTACGGTAATATTTAAGCTGGTCTACCTATTCTGATAGTATTTAGTATTAAAAGTCCCACACTAGAGGGCGGAAATTTAACGCTGATGGCTAGGAAATGTTTCTTGTGGTTTCGGTTATGATCAAGACAATTACGATGAAATTACCCGAAAACTTTATTTTTGTCTGGTTTTCTAGTGGTTCTGGACATCTCAACTATCAGGCGACAAATTTTCCATGGGTTAGGGGTTCTGAACAACTAATTTGTATGGATGTCTTGTTGATGAACGGTCAAATTAACCAACTTTTTTTTTGTAAAATTACATAATTTTATTTTCGGGTTTTTAATAATATTTTTTTTTCAGACGGGGCTGAATATGTGTAAGATACAGTCATATATAACGACACACTTTGTCGCACTATGTCGCGAGTTCATATAAACAGCGGCCAAAAATAGAAGGAGTTATCGAAAGTTAATGAAATTTGGTACATGTGCTTATTATTGGCCTAAAGAGCAACTGACAAAAAATTGGATAGGTCGGACCAAGATTTGGTATACCTCCCATATAATGGGTCTTGAGAATGTCACCCTTTTTGGGCTATAAAATCTTTAATATTCAAACAAATTCAATGAAAATTGGCAATTTACAGTTAATTAGGCCTATAAAGCAACTGACCAAAAACTGGGTAGATCGGACCAAGATTTGATATACCTCCCATACAAAGGGTCTTGAAAATTTTACTATTTTGGGCTATAAAATCTTTAATATTCAACCAAATTCAATGAAAATTGACAATTTACATTTACTTATGCCTATAAAGCAACGGACCAAAAACTGGGTAGATTGGACCAAGATTTGATATACCTCCCATACAAAGGGTCTTGAAAAATCCGATTTTTGGACCTATATATAGTTTATATTCATCCAAATTCCAGGAAAATTTTCATGTCTTCGTCCAAATTACATCTAATTTAGGCGAAGACAGTAATAGGTGTTGTAATTTAGTTGTTACAGGTACCTACCATACCAAAAGTCCCTACAAATTTAACTTTCTGTACTATAAAATCGTTATATGCAGCTAAATTAAGTATAGTAGTTGTATTTTTGTTATTTTTATTATAATATGTTTTATCATTCACAACATTTTGAAAACACACATCAGATATATATATATATATATATATATATATTGTTGTCTCTTCGGTCGCTCAATACAGAATGGCGTCCTTTCTTTATTTCATCATCCATTGTTCTTAAATCTAGTATACATAAGCGGTTATTTAAATGATCGTAAGTATTTGGTATTCTCTACAAACTAATTCGGTTATTATTCACAATAGCTGGGTTCCTTATTCTATTCTACTACAACTCGGCCAACCTGACAATAGTGACCGCCACGGTCACTTGGGGTTAAATTACTTATACTAGGGATTAATATATTTGATATGAGTATGTTAAAACTTAAACTACTTAGGCTAATATATATACACTATGTACAATATGGGTCAGAGCAGCTCTGGGTGCTTTCATCCGGTTCATCCGTCTTCCACAATCTTATGTTACAAGCTTCGATCACTCCATCATAAGGAATTTGGGTGATCTGACAATTTTCGATGTCTTTGACTACGTATCTATCATTTGGTAGCACCTTGGTTATGACGTAAGGACCCTTAAATTTTGGCAAAAGCTTTTTGTTAACTCCTATTGTTGTGTCTACATTCTTTATTACTACGAAATCTCCTATTTTGAACGAGCTGACTCTATAACCCTTTTCCATGGACTTTTGTTCGTTATACTTTTGTGTCTTTGTAATAGCAGCCTCTGCTTTCTCTCTTATTTCCTCAATACCCCGGATCCGCGCACACCTGATGATGTTGTCTCTTCGGTCGCTCAATACAGAATGGCGTCCTTTCTTTATTTCATCATCCATTGTTCTTAAATCTAGTATACATAAGCGGTTATTTAAATGATCGTAAGTATTTGGTATTCTCTACAAACTAATTCGGTTATTATTCACAATAGCTGGGTTCCTTATTCTATTCTACTACAATATATTGTCTTCCCAAATGTACGATTCAGTATCATCCACATTATAATCTCGGGCCTTTATTTTATGGCTGTTTAAGGATATTACAAGGTCGGATTGTAATATAAAATACTAAATAAAATCCTTATTTAACTCGGCTTTAACAAAAGTTCGGGCTGCTACTAATTATTTGTTCGCATGACTTGTTAGCATCTTGTGAAAGTCGCTCAAAAGGTATTGTACTGCACTTTGCATATCCCATGCCATGAACAAATATTTTTCTGTATGAACTTTTCACAAAGGTAATTCATGTGCCTCTAAGTTTAGATTATAAGATTATGTCTCAAATGATCTGATAAATAAGTATAATCTTCAAACTGACTGAAAATTTATTTAAAAGCTATATTTTAAAACCAATTATCCCATATCTCCGCTTCGAATAACGTTTTTACCACTCAATTGCATATTTTATGTAAAATATTGTATTATTACTATGTTCTGAATCCATCTTCTCCTTCCTATTTGACCCTCAACAACTCATTTAATTGTATACATAACATATTGGACTATTCGCTTCTAACCATTTCGTGAATATGCCATATTTTTTCATAAGGTGGTCACCAAAAAAGTTAAATAACTCATAGGACCGCAGGACTCCGCAGCTAATTTTTTTTATTCCTTAAATAACACAATTTCACCACTCAAATATAAAAACAATTAGAGCTAACCTTTTTTAAACTTTTTTTTCTGCTCCACTAATTTCAAAATTTGTTTTACAAATTTGATGAACTAAGTACTACAAGTGTGGGCGACTGTATACACCATATGATATTTATATACATACAAACTAAAGCGAATCCTAGTCTTTACATCCACAGCAACCAAAATAAACACTTTTATAATAACCGTTAATTTGAATATTCAAATATCTGAGCATCAGAAAAACACACCCATTTTTCGAAAATATGGTAAAAAATCAGTTTATAAATAATTATCAGATTTGAACCTTTGTAGAGACAAAACTACTCGACATATCGATGTAAAATTTCATATTTATTCTAATTGGAGTATTTTCTATCAATCCTCATCAAAAAATTTGTTCTCCGTGGTACTTGGTTTTGACCATATTTTGGCCGCGGTCGTGACACTGTGCGACATAAAGTAAGTACATCATACGTCTATCTCTAATGATGTTGGTCGTATATGTATAATAACATGTATATAGATTAAACGTAGTGTATTTGGGAGACCACTAACTTGAAATCGGACAAAATTTAATATGTGATCTATAAAGATATATAAACCTATTTTAATTAATCTGTATACATGCCATTCTGAAATCTCTGCAAAATGTCGTGTCAATTGGCCAGACTTAGCTTTTATATATACAAATGGTTCGATTTGAAAGAAAATTGACATTTGACAATCGGTATTCTGCAGTACAGCGTTTTGTCTAAACAAAATTAAATCGTAAGACATTTTAATAACAATCTGCAAAATTTTGGGTCTTTGATCCACAATTTACTTAAGGGGACATCCCCCATTCTCGATTTTAAATTTTCAAGATTTTCATTGGGCATGTTATGGTTTGTAACTTTACACATATATAATTGAAGATTTAAAAGAGAAGAAAAATGGTTTGCAAAATTTGGTTGTTGTTGTTTTTGGTGATTAAAGAAAAATCCTTATTGTTGATGGGGGGCATGAAAACTCCTCACTGGAACATCGTAATCGTGAAATTCCAAGGGTGTTAGAAAGACTACATGTCTGGCTCTCGTATGAACTAGGATTATTGACTTCGCACAAAAATTAACGAAAAAGCCGACCTTTGAAACACTGCTTCGAGAAAAATGCATTTAAAGTGTGAGAATCATTCTTGCCATCACATGATAATGACACAATAAGTAGGCTTCAAGAGTTCTTGAGATTTTCACTTGAAATTTTGTAGGGATATTCTAGAATTAGAATAAAATCGAATTGAATCAATTTGATTGGGGGTGGGTCCCCTTAACTGACACTTTTTACTTGTTTAAATATTATTTTCCCTATGATTATTAATGAGTGCACAATTTTAAGTAATTGATTTGAAAGATTGATAACATTTAAACGTTTTTTGATCTCATACATTTTCGAACTCTTAATACTATTACCTATTAAAGTCTGATCACCTGATTCCATCCATAAAGAACATCTACATATTACTATATAACTAAAAACAATAATTGATTGGTGTTCCCTAAATGGAATGTGAATCTTTATTTTTCTAAATATAATCATGAAACCTACTAAAAAAGTACATCATTCTTATAACTAATAACTATTTTTTCCCTAAATAACATATTACATAATTTGTATATTAAACTCTCTAAGCTATAAGCTGACATATATTAATTTTTGTGTTTATCTTTGGCAATTTCTTCGTTTGATTGAGAGCAAAGGTTCGTCAACCAGGCGAGCAAAAGTTTTGAAATAAAATTTTTTTCAAGGAGTAAAAAATGAAAATTTATTGGAATCGGATTAAAGGTACCCAGAAAATAGTGGTATGTCCAACTATCTAACCAGACTTTCTTCGTGATATTAAATTTTAGAAATTATTTAAACATTTTCTCCGGTTTGAATTTATTATTTATTTCAAAGTCTTGCTAATCAATAATTAGAAATCATTAGGTGAAGCTCCACTCGTCCTTGTACCTCCCCCACAAAATATTGAAAATTGTAAAAAACTTAAGTTTATAATATCATGCGAACGGAATATCCGATTTGAACCAAACTGTACAACTTATTGTCTTTACCAAGCCTAGATCAAGTCAGAATATGGGGCCCATTGGTCCACTCATTCTGGTACCTCCCCCACAAATGGTCAATATTTAGTATAAACGACTTGAACAACATAAAATCCGAAACCTCTTTGATAAAAACATATTGCTCATATAAAGTGAATAATAAAACATCTGCAAACCATCTGTCGGCAACACCGACTGAAACTTTTTTAGTTTTTAAGGAATATTTTTTCCTATGATTATCACATATACAAATTATGATTTTTTTATCCTCAACCTTATGTGTGAGGAAATATACAATTTGCGACAACTACCATGTGCCTCGTCGAAATATTGATTATCGACCGGAAATTTCTTTGAACCAAATCCGTTTCAGACAATGGTACAAGGTAGTAACCGATTTCACCCAAACTTTGTACATCGTAATATTTCTTCCAAATGTTAAACATGTTCGAATATGGGGTATATCGGTCCACTTCTCTTGCAACTCTTTTATAAAATGGTTAAATGTTGATGCAAATTAATTATACCCTTATATGATAAATTTGTCATTTCATTTGCAACATCTCGAAATAACCATCGAATACCATATTAAGTAAATATATACTTGATCAGAATCCATGTCGATTTAGCTATGTCCGCCTGTTCAAACATTTAAGAGAGAGCTTTGAAATTTGCACAGCCGTTGCTAGTACTCCTTGGATGTTTTGTATTACAAATGGCATATATTGGTCCTCGTTTTGGTTTAGGTCCCTCAATATTCGATATTTTCAACAGAATTGTTTGTAATTTGTTAGTTGGAATTTTTAATAATATTGATCCCAATTTCGGGGTGGCCCCATATAATGGTTGGGGGCCACTCCGTTCTCAACGCTACCCCCAATATTCGAATAGTGTGTCCGATTTTATCAAGACTTTACATATTTTAATATGTTGATCACACCTTGATAAACATATGCATTATATAAAGTGAATGGTAAATATTATGTGGTAAAAACTTGGCAGATAATATTACATTATTTTATACATCTTGCATATCCCCCACAAAATGTTACAATTGGCCAAAATTCAATATTCTTGATTCTTGAAAAGCTAAAACTTTTGGCATAAAGGTCCCTTTCAATTTAATTAGTTCAGTGATCATAAACGAATTCGGGTTCTTCAAAGTTAAAAATCGGTTTCTGTTTGTGGATTTTTTTTTTCAATATAGATATAGATAAATATTACTCACAGTAAAAGTTCAATATATGTGGTCCATGTTTCACATAACTCTTTTATAAAGGTGTACCCCTCATTTTCGGAATTTTTTTGATCCTAATCAAATTTTTGCATCTGAGGGTCTTTAATTTGGGTTTTCGTTCCCTCTGATGCTCTACCAGGTCTATAGCATTCCTAAAGAGGTTCCTACCAATACAAATCTGTAAAAAATCTTTACATCGTGTTTATTTGTTAAAGCTATATTTTTATTGAATTATAGAAATTATAACCATTTATTTTAACTTCATAAAAATGCACTTACAATAGTTCATTCCACCATAGATTTATAATCCTTAACACCACTAATACTAACAACATTTAGTAAACCCAATATATCTCTATGCTTTCTTAAAGGTTTCATCGCTAGAACGGCGACATACCGAACGTGAGGAACGTCTACATATGCTTGTAGAGGCTTTGAGTAAAGGACGTTTAAACGGTGCACTAGATGACCTACTGACCGACAACAATAATCAATGAAAAATAAGCTAAAATGGGTAAACCGCGATAATGGCACAAAACAATTTCAAAAGAATTTACAACAAGAAAAACACAAAATATTTAAACAAAATTATACATTTCTATTCGTAAGATATTTAGAGAAAATTGTTTTGGTACTAAGAAAAAGAGTAGTTCGAATTACTAGTAGTTTTTGATTTTCGTGAGTGAACAAATATTTTGTATTGATTACAAAAAACAAAAGATCAACTCGCAATTTTTAGGGATTTTCTTTTTTCATTTATTGTGTTGACACATTATTTTAAAAAAATCAGTTAATAATTATTATTTTTTTATACTGAACCAAGCAGAGAATTAATTACAAAATGATAAAAACTTTGCAAAATGTTATAAGAAAAAAAAATAAAAAAACAAAATGGACTGAATTTTAAGATATAACAAAAAACCCGATCATTCTCATTGATGTTATAATTAATAACAAAATAATAATATTATAAGTTTATTAATTTTAACGGTGATATTTTTAAGACATTTTTTCATTTGTAATTATTTAAAAGAAAATAAAAAAAAATATTTTTTATTTCATAACTGAGACTTCCTCAAAAATGACGAGGATAAACCAAAGCCAAAAATCAAATTTGTTGGATATTTCCAAAAATTTGTATCCACAAATTTGATAACGAGAAAAAATAACGCAACCGTTCAGTTTCCTTCCAAAGGAGTTTTTTCACATAAATAAGTAATTAGTACATACATACAAACATATAATATTTAATAATTAAGTGGTTTTTAATAAAATCTTAATAATAATAGTAATACAATTAATACTAATAAGTAATGTTATTGAGTTCAGTATTACATACAAACACATACACATATATCTGTAGCTTATTAACTAAACTTTTAACATATTTAATTGTCTTTACTATTTACTAATTATGATGTGTGGAAATAGTTCATAGAGTTTAAAAAATTAATGTTCATTAATTTAGTTTTTTCTTTATAGTTTGGAATTTTATATATTACATATTTACGGATATTAAATACTAATGGCAATTTCAAAGAACAGTGCAATTCAATAAATTTTACACCCTAATTATGTTTGTTTAATATTTGTTTCCAAAATGGTGCAACAACTTGTTATACTAACACTAAAAGTTCTGGGATATATTAATATATTCATTCCGCCCGCGATTTACTGTATCGAGACCACATTCAAAAAAGATCCACGTACAACCACATATTGTTTCTGTCCATTTATCCCAATATAATTTTCAGTTCCAATAATTTGCCCACAAGCTAAAATCCCCCAACTCAGGCGGGTTCTGAAGACAACAAAAATCCTGCAACAAGAACCTTGATTCGTCGATTGGGTATTTAAATACTTACTTACTTAGCTGGCTTGTTACAGAACGGTTGTTCCATAAGCCGAGTTTAAAAAAGATTTCCAAGCGCGTCGGTCCTGTGCGCATCTCCTCCAATTTGAAAGACCACGTTCCAAGATGTTGTTTTCTACTTGGTCTTTCCATCTAATTCGTGGACTTCCCTTTCTACGGGAACCATTAGTAGGTTCGCTTTTATATGCCTTTTGAGCTGGGGTATTCTCATTCATTCGCACAACATGACATGGCCACCGTAGTCGTTGCAGCTCAATACGACTGACTATGTCAATGTCCGCGTATAAATTGAAAAGCTCGTGGTTCATTGGACGCCAATATTCAACGTAGACGCAGATCGCCCCGTAAATCTTTCGGATAATTTTTCTCTCAAACACCCCAAGAGCTGCCTCATCTGCTTGCGCGAGTACCCATGCTTCAGGTCCATATAACAGCACGGGTAGTATCAGCGTCTTGCAAAGTGTGAGTCTGGTCTGGCGGGAGGTGGCCTTGTTCCTAAACTGCTTACTTAGACCATAGTATCATCTGTTAGCCAATACTATCCTTCTCCGAATTTCAAAACTGATGTCATTAGTTGTATTTATGGCGGTACCAAGGTATATAAAATCTTTAACTACCTCGAAGCTGTAGTTCTCAAGTTCCACAGTTGGTCCGAGTCTACTGGACGTCCTGCGCGTTGAAACCATCACGCGCGTTGAAACCATCACCATTCTTGCCATTTACTGCCAGACCCACTTTGGCAGACTCCTTCGCAATGTTGGACCCATTATATCGATGTCATCGGCGTAGGCAAGTAGCATGTGTTGTTTGGTGTACAGAGTGTCATTTCTGCCTCTCGTATGACCTTTACTAGCAGGATGTTAAAGAGGGTACACGACAAACTGTCACCTTCTCTGAATCCTCGTTCTGTATTAAAGGGCTCCCAGAGGTCTTTTCAGACTTTAACTGTTGGTCTTGTGCCAGTTAAAGTTATCCTACTTAGCCGAATTAATTTTGCAGGAATGCCGAACGCAGACATGGCTTTAAATACTTCTGAACGGATAGGTCCACCGAATGCGGCTTTATCAGGGTGCGCAAAAAGTCGCTCGTGAATGAATTAAAATACATTCTTTTTGTGCGTGTGTTTACTTTTTTATGATTTTTTTTTTTTTTTTTTTTTTTTTTTTTTTTGGAGCAGAGCTCGCAAGCATTCGCGATCATTTGTTTTTTGGTTTTTTCAAAAGAATGTTCTTCAGCTACAAATGCTCGCGATCGAACGAATCGACGAAGCTTGCAGCGAAATTTTATCGTTCGTGAATTTTTCGTACAATGCGAACATTTGCGAGAGATTGCAAATGCTTGTTCATTCATTGTAACTTTATCATTCGTGATAAATTGAAAAACATTCGAATTCTCGCCGTGAGCATTCGTGAGAAAGAGTGCATTTTTTTCAATCTCCACACCCTGGGCTTTATAGTCGATGAATAGGTGGAATGTGTGTTTTTCGTGGGTCTTTTCCAGGATTTGGCGCAGAGTGAAAATCTGGTCATTGGTGGCTTTGCCAGGCCTGGAGCCGCATTGATATGTCATTGACCATTTGTCGAGGAGACTTATTCCTCTATAGTTGGTACACCGTCTTGTCTCTTGTCTGATGTTTCTTCATGGAGGCTGAATTTTCCAACGGCGGGGTCAAAGATATTTTCCCTTCCTATTTTTGCTTATGCAACGATCAAATGCTGTTTCTAGGCGTTCGTAAAACATGTCTTTGGTCTGTTCATGAGACTGATGTAGAAGAACTTCGCTTTTATACGGATTATAGCAATCCGCTCATCTACTGGAGTGAATCTGAAGGCGAGGTCTTTTTTCCTATTAACCATAAATCCGCAGCCAAATTCATGTCTCGTTTCATGGCAGCTATAATAAAGGGATTTACTTACGTCAGTCCCTTTCCATCGCATTTCCTGTAAGGCAATAATATCGTCAAAACGAAATCCAGGTGTAGATACGCAGGTCGTGGTCCTTTATACTTTTGCGGGGGTCGTCAACATTAGGGGGCTTGATTTTTTTTCTCTTTCGACGCCTCAGCTATTTGTTTATGGTTGTTATGGGTGAACTAGCGGCACATATTAGCTTACTATTTCAACGGGTAGTAGCTACCCCAGGTGATACCCCGGGGGTTAGTGCCCACAATTTAGATAAAAGAAGGCCAAGATAAACCTGTGTTTTGCCGTGTTAAAACCAATCAGAGCCGTTGCTTGGTGTCTATCATCCCCTATGCCACCCAATTGAAATGAACTGTTCTTTTATTTGAAATACCATAATATTTGAAATTTATAACATTACAAATAAATATTTTTTACTGTTTTCTGATTTTTTATTGAAATAGTTATTTTCTAAATTGTTCTAATTACTATAGAGTCAATTTTGAATGGTGTTATTACTTATTGGCGTATGTGTCTTCATTGAGGCACAAAATTATATAAAAATAAAATTTAAAGTTATTATTGAATTTTTGTGTTAACTGATAGTTCTAATATTTCAATTTTCAATCTCTTAAATAAATGTTAAGCGTATTTAAAACTCAAGTGTGAAAGACAACCGTCTATTATGAAATATATTTATACAGTATTGAAATGATGCCGAATCAAATAGTATGTAGTTTTAACAAAATTATAGAATATATTTATTAGTGTTATATTTTTTAGTTTGTTTTTCAAAATTATCAGTGATTTGGTACAATTAATATAGTAATATTGTATTGATTATACAATATATGAAATAAAATAATTTAATTTAAATAAACAATTAATAAATTATGAATGAGACTTTTAAAAAGTTAAAAATGATGTGTGTATTTATTTTATTCATTCATCAGTTGGGACCAATGTCTATTTAAAAGAACACCATGTGTAATTTTATTAGTTTTTAATGTTTTGAATTTAAAATCAAAAAGAAAATTCAAGATTGAAAGGGCTTTCTTTAAAAAATATAATTTTCTAGCACGAAACTCATACAGATTTCTAACCATCCTTAGGAAGTCTATAACATACCCCAAAATAAAACACATTATTTATTTTGCATATAATTCAATTAAATATGTTTGTAATTTTTTATTTATTTATTCCGTTGAGATAATTCGAATCCCAAACAACAGCAACATGACACATAAATACAGTTATATTATTATTTTATAATTCTTCTACATTTTTTTAGATAATTTCTATAAATCGATTAAATATTTTAACAGAGCATAAGTAGATATTGTAGTGTAACTGAAACTAGTAACAATGCCGACAACAATTGTCGTTTTTTTATTGGAGAACAATAAATTTCACTACACACTGTATTTCAATATTTGATTGCATATAACAAACGGGTATACATAATATAATTTTTTTGCATATATATCTTTATTTTGTAATCATACTGAATTTATAATTTATACGGTTAATAATTTTGATTTATTTTTTTCTCCTTTTTCCAAAATAATAGTATAATTGTTTACATTTTTAATAATATGTTTTATATATTTTGTTAAAACATAGCATTATTGTGATTCACATTTCCAATCTAGTAGGGTAGCCAAGATTTACATATTTTTTTGTTATTATTTTTATTTTGTTAATATATCATTAAATTAAATGTATACTTG